GGACTCAGGAAACAAATTACAGAGGCAAAAGAAGGGGCCCTTAGAGCGTAGGAGTGAGCAGGGTAATGGTAACATGCCTTCGGGGAGAGGAAGGGGGAAGGGAAAGGCGTGGGTGTTGGGTGTGCTCCCAGGAGGGAGAGTGTGCTGGGTTTTTAAGGGTTGGGATTTTAAGAAAGGTCCTTGGGAAGGATCTCAATAGAACATTCATCGGATTTCCAGGTGTGTCCTTTCATGGTCTCCACTGATTTTGTCAGCACCTGGGCAGAGGTCATTTGTCAATGCAGGTAGTCATGACATCAGCTGTGGTGTTGCTTGTCTGGTTTGGCTGCTTTTCTGGGCCTGGGGCTGAAACACAACTCAGGCCTAGATGTACACATCATTGTCCTGGAGTCAATGCTTAAGGGCTTAATGCTTAATTCTATTCTCTGGGCCCCTAGTTTGTTCCTCCAAGGGGGTCTCTCACATACATGACTAGCAACATGCCAGGGGAAGAAAGGTCAGGGGAGGGTCTTAACTGCATGACCAGCGACATGAAAGGTCAGGGGGTCTAAACCGAATGATCAGCAATGTGCTAGGGGAGGAAAGGTTACCCTGGGGATGAGGTCCTTGTTTTCCCAGGTTTGCTTGTTGCTAGGCAACTGGGGCTTTCCACCCTGGGGACCAACATCCTTGCTCTGCTCATGCCTGTCTGCCCACCACACTAGCACCCTCATTTTGCAGACGAGGAAACGGCGGCTGAGAAAAGTAAGATAACTTTTCCAGAGGGCTGCAGTTAGTAAGTAGATGATCTGGGGTTTTAAGTTGGGCCATACTATACCATTCATGATCTTACTTCCAGTACCTTATTTTATTTCAATTTTGATGATTCCATTGACTCCACATTCAGCATAAATTGGCAAATACTTGAAATTCACATGCTTGTGGAGGGAACATTTGAAAGTCTAAAGCAATTTCGAAGTCTCCAAATTAGGAGTAATTGCAACAGAAAAAAACATGCATTCTAAATTCCCCTTACATATTCTTAAGAGTCTATTATTTCTTACTCTCTAATATGGTATGTGCTAGTCTAACATGTGGTGGCTTAAGTTTAAATTAAAGAAAATAAATAAAATTAAAATTTTAATTCCACAGTCACACTAGCCACAGTTTAAGTTCTCAAAAGTCACACATGGCTAATGGTTACTGTATGGGCAACACTGATATAAAATCTTTCCATCATCAAAAGTGCTACTGGCATTGCTGATTTATATAGTGAAGCTTTGAAATTGCAAGTGTGTGTGTGTGTGTGTGTGTGTGTGTGTGTGTGTGTGTGTGTCTGCATATGAAAGCTGTAGCTGCACATATGGTTTTGTTTCTGTTGTCCTCTCAATGGCCTGAAGAGTAGAGACAATGTTTTGAACTTTTCTTATAAAAAATTACTTGTTTTTGATAAATCTGTGACAAAGACTTTTTTATTTTCTAACTTTTAAAAAAATATATTTTTTTTATTGATTTCAGAAAGGAAGGGAGAGAGAGAGAGAGAGAGAGAGAGAGAAACATCAATGATGAGAGAGTCATTGATTGGCTACCTCCTGCACACCCTCTACTGGGGATCAAACCTCCAACCTGGGCATGTGCCCTTGACTGAAATTGAACCCGGGACCCTTCAGTCCACCAGCCAACGCTCTATCCACTGAGCCAAACTGGCTAGGGCAAAGACTCTTTTCTTAATCAAACTTTAGTCAGGCTCCTCTGAGCCCTCAGGCCGGGACCTTAGCCTTCCATGTCCATTCTTGCCGAGTCCAATTTTAGTAAGAATCCGGCTAAATCGGTTTAGAGAGAATTTCCCCCACTTTAAACATCTGATTAAGCCCCTCGTGCCACACCCTGGACGTGCTTGCTTGCCTTTACCGAGAATCTTAGTAGGCCAGTTTAGCAAGAATCCCCTTACCCTTGATGTAGCCTCGCAATAATTTTTACCCACTGACCCTCTCATTGTGCAGGTTGGTTATGAATCCCCAGCTATCTCTTTTATATTCAGAGTTGAGTACATCTTGCTCCTGTATTATGTCTCCCTCTACAATATTGGAATACACTAAAGTCTTCCTTAGCATTTTAACAAGTGTCAGAATAATTTTCCTTTAACACCTGATATATAAGAATTACCTAGTAGGCATTATCTTACAGGTGTAGAAAGGGGGAAACCATAACTGAAATCCATAATCATGAAATTAGAAAATTGGGATAACTCTAGAGATCATTTAGTTGTCATGATATTGGAGGAAATCCCTCTACAAAAACAGTCTTGACTGAATACCTGTTTATAAAAAGAAAATACTATTTAGTGGGAAGTCTGTTTAATTTTTGGGATAATTCTGAATGTTAGATATTTTTCCTCTTCTATGTAGCCATTCCTATTCCTATTCCTCCCATCTATTAATCTGAGTTCTGACCTCTACATTTAAAAGAATAAACCAATCACCTTCTAGGCAATTGCCATTCAACTATGTAAAGATAGCTGTCATAGCCCATCCTAAGCATTTTTTTTAGAGGAAAAAGTCAAGTATCTATCACTACACCTCAGGGGATGTGGCTTCTAGATCTTTCTTTGCCCTGGTCCCCCTCCTATGGGTTCACTTCAGCTACATAACATTCTCTTAAACGTCAGCCCTGGCATGACTCACGGTGCTCAGTGTGTTCTGGTCAGTGCAGGAGGCCTCTGCCTCCTAGGTCATCTTTTACTGCACTGAGAGCGGTGTTCGGTCTTTGGGCTGCCTGCCATTTGAAAACCCATAATTTTTTTAAAAAATATATTTTATTGATTTTTTTTACAGAGAGGAAGGGAGAGGGATAGAGAGTTAGAAACATCGATGAGAGAGAAGCATCGATCAGCTGCCTCCTGCACACCCCCTACTGGGGATGTTGCCTGCAACCAAGGTACATGCCCTTGACCGGAATCGAACCTGGGACTCTTCAGTCTGCAGGCCGACGCTCTATCCAGTGAGCCAAACCGGCTAGGGCCCATAATTTTTTTCCCCCATCATTTTTAAAAACTATTATTGAACTAGATTTCTTTCATTTGCTATTTCTAGAGTTGATTTTAAACTTGAATTCAGGATGTTACATTTGTTCCTGTTAAATTTTAATCTATTTCCTGATTCTGTTGTGATATTTTTGAATTCCAAGTTAGGGGCGATATATACTAGTGACAGTAAACATTGAATAGTATCTACGAATTTGATAAATATGTTTACTGTGCATTCATGTCAAATCATTGACAAAAATATCGAGCAAGACACTGAGTCCTGCGCCTATCAGCTGGTACCTCCCTTCAGATAGGCGTTGTTTGGCTTGGAGTCACACCGGTGAGTTGTAAATCCTGGCTCTGCCCTTGACTGACCTTGTGTCCTTGACATCATTTAACTCGTCCAAGCCTCAGTCTCTCCTTCTACAAAATGAAGCTAAATAACAATGGTATTTACTCATGGCTTCATGTGGAGCTAAAATGAGAACATGTCTGGGAAGTCCTTAGCCTAGTGACATAAAATGTGTGATTTTTTTCATATCAAAATAATAGGAAGATTCAAAATGTAGCAGGTATGACATAGAAAAGGGATTTGACATATTGTTTGGAGTAGACACCATAAGGTATGTTCTTTATGTTTTTCACAAACAGGAAAAACACTTGTTAGCTTAACTGTGGATGGGGAATATCTATACTGGGTCTCCACAGCGAAGGAGGGCACAGAGACTTACCAAGTAAAGAAGAGCCGAGAGGCCACCCCCGCTCAGGTGAAGGCCCCCAGGAGCGAGCGCATCTTGGCTTACAGTTCGGTGCTGCAGCCTTTTCCAGGTAACCAAGCCACAGGCTGAGTCAACTTGTTCTCCCAGTTCAGGGCCGGGAAAGTCTCATCATGACTCCTTCTCCGGGCTGTTTCTCCAACTCCTGTGTTGTGCTGTCAGTGTTGCTCCAAACTGCCAGGATTTGGCGTGCGCGGTGATTGCTGTTTGCCTTGGATCGCCGTTCATCTATGCGTGCATCCGAGGCTTGGGGTGCGGGAGGCAGCCAGAGGCATGCGAAACCCTTGCTGCCTGTTTCTCTTTCTCTTCTTAGTCCCGAAAGTTCCTTTCTTTCTGCCTTTTTTCTTCTCAGACGATATTTTAGACTCCCAATGGTTTCACAAAGCATTGCATAGCATTCCAAGATCAAGTGCCTATTTATAATAGTGTTCTGTACATCCACCCTTTAACAGACATACATGTGTCCTACCACTTTGACTCAGTTCTTATCTTTTTAAAGAGGTGACACTCATGAAACTTTTAGTGTTGTGCCCCTAACTCTATTTCCCCCTGTGGATTTTATTGTGCAATTTTGTATAAAGCAGTGACTTTTAGGAATGCATGTGTCACATTATGGGCAGAACTGATTATATATATTTACTACTGTGAGTCACAATAAAAAATGTTTGAAATTTAAAAACCAACCAACCAACCAATCAAAAATGAAAACAGCATTATATAGACTCATGGGTGATTTCCTCAAGCTCTCTCTGCCATTAAGATGCCTATGTTATTCTAAATTAAGTATAATTCCCACTAGAGAGGGATAGAAATGAATGAAACAAACTCAAGTAATCTTTGCTTAAATGTATTCATTTATAAAATATGTAAGTTACAAAATATTTTAAAAAATGAAGATTTTATAAATAAATTGAATGACATTTTGGTTTAAAATTAATTTTCCACTTTGAGAAATTTAAGAGATTTTAAAAGTCCATGAAAATATGATTAATATAATGTTCTAATTACTTCAAAATAAAACAAGGACCAGCTTTATTATGCTACTGTCTAGGTCAGTGATGGCAAACCTATGACACGCGTGTCAGAGGTGACACGCGAACTCATTTTTTTGGTTGATTTTTCTTTGTTAAATGGCATTTAAATATATAAAATAAATATCAAAAATATAAATCTTTGTTTTACTATGGTTGCAAATATCGAAAAATTTCTATATGTGACATGGCACCAGATTTAGGGTTTTTCAAAATGCTGACATGTGGAGCTCAAAAGGTTTGCCATCACTGGTCTAGGTACATTATAAAGGCTATACTTTAGCTCCATCTGCTGGAAATGTTAAGCAATTACCAGTTACCTTGCTCCCTAGTTCATCCATCTTTAAGAAAAAAACTTGTCTTTCTGTCCTGAATAATATTTCCAACACTTCAATACATCATGCCTTATAAGTTAAGTAAAAAAATAAATATCATATTACCCTCAATGTTCACATGTGTATATATTTAATCTTTTTTTCTTATTATTTTAGATAAAGCATTTCTGTCTCTAGCTTCAGATATCGCAGAGCCAATTATACTTAACACCACTAACACCAGCCTCACAATCAGATTACCGTCTTCCAGGACAAACCTCACCTGGTATGGCATCACCAACCCAACTCCAACATACCTGGTTTATTACAAAGAAGTTAATGATGGGAAAAATGGCTCTGAACCAAAATATAGAATGCTGGTAAGATTGGAGCTGGTGGTCTTTGTCTTTTTAGAAGATACTCTTTTTTGATATGAAATTCTTCGTCATAGTATTTTCTATAGCATTTTCTGGGATGTGCTATTATGCAACCTGTTATAGCTGATTCATCAAAGCATATTGTGTCTAGTCTTCTTGTCTGGGAGTAATTTACACTTCAACAAACTTTATTAACTGACCAGTTGGTAGATCGCCAACAGTAACAATTTCCTGAGTGTCCTTAAAAGAACTGTATTTTTTTTGTCCTTCCTGGTTATCTAATTATCCCTAGAAAGTGATGCCTATGTGATTTTATGGCTCATCTAGCAGATTTTGGTTGAGGGGTAAGAAATGCATTTGACAGAGAGAACATTGCCATGTACCTCTGTCCTGCATAGCATATATCTAATATAAAAATTGTATATTTTTGTGTGATTTCCAGTATTTTGTGAAATGCTCCATTATTCAGGGGCTATGCTTTGACTTATCATTGTATTTCTAGTACCCAGCTTAGTACTTGACATTGTATAGGCATTCACTAGATATCTCTCGAGTGAATAAATGAATTGGCATAATTCTTGGCAACATGGGCACTGGTGTTTTAGTTGTCCTTGTGATGAAATCATGTGTATCCTATATTTTGCTTTGTGCTACTTATTTAACCAAGTCAAAAAGTGAAATTGACCATCTCCTATTTGAGGTTAACACAGTACACTTGGCCAGAAAATACAGCTCGTTCTTATTACTTCCTTTATTTTGTCTGTTTTTATCTTTTTTACACATTTCTAAAGAGAGTTGTTTCAGAGGCAGCTTGGATCATGTGGCTGACTAAGGCTGGGCTGTGGCACTGGACATGGCTATGAGAGCTCATGTATCTTGTCTTCACATTGATTAACATGCACCAAAGGCCTGGTTCGCAACCTCGTGCACACTGGAGCTCTTAAAATCTCTTCATCCAGGTTTCCCCTCAGGCCAATTCAGTCAGAATCTCTGGAGGTGGGACCCAGAAATCAGTATTTTCTTAAAATTTCCAGCATGATTCCAACCTGCAACCAAAGTTGAGAACCATTGACCTAAGGAAGGTCTTTTTACTTAAACTTTATTTCTAAGAATGACTAGATACTGTAGCTTAATCTTTTCTATTCATGTATTTATCACATCCTTCCAATACCATTTTGCTGAGTTTCTAATGCAATGCCAATGAAATAGTGTCCTCCTCTGGGAATATACCTTCTTTTGTGAGATGAATATGCCACAAAATTGACTGAAGGCTGTCAGTCATTTAGCATTTATTCTTGTAGCTATTAACTCAGGCCTGGGCAGATTAGAACAGTGAACATTGTCCTTCATGATCCAATATCTACAAATAAAAAATGTTGAGTTTTTTAATATTTTATCACTTTGATTAAATAATTTCTCCCCATTTGTACAAAAAAATAAAAATCACATAGTAATATTTGTAAATTAATTTCAGGAATTTCAGGAGAGTATAGCCCTTATTGAAGGCTTACAACCATTTTCAACATATATGATACAGATCGCTGTAAGGAATTATTATTCTGATCCTGTGGGACAGTTACCTCTGGGAAAAGAGATTTGGGGGAAAACTAAAAGTGGAGGTGAGTTATGGGCTTGGTGTGGGAGGCTAGAGTGGAGGTTTGTAATATCTGTGATGTGTATGTCTATATTTGTTTGTTTTTTACCTGAATATAAAGTCAGCTTTATTATGTGACCTTTTTAAAGCTTAATAAGGAAAATATATTGGTTGAAAAATACTTTGATGACATGACTTTTGCTCTAACACTAGAAGATGATAAATAATATTCCATCAAAATGAAAAGTGACTAGAAGCTGAAAGAAACATCAGCATCAATACTGTTTGCCCAAGAAACACAGTCTTTGCTCTCACCACACAGTGTCACCCTCTTCCCATATCTTCATAGGTCTGCACACATGGTGGGACGGGAAGACCAAGCCTTTTCTCTATTTAAAGTAATATAACATATTGCCTTAAATAAAATGGATCTAGAATCTAAAAAGGTGTCCTTAGAGGTGGCAATTATTATGGGGTGATGCCATTTCTTTCAGATGTCTCTGATGAATTCACGAAAATCACCCCAATTTGGTTATTCATCATCACTGGCCAAATCCTGGAGCTAGAGTCAGAGAATGATTTAGTCATTCGGCAAAAATAAGCCAGTCTTTCAGACAGCCGCTAACTTACCATTATATAAGAGGCTGGCTTCCCTGAGGCACATCTGTCACTCATTCTGCTCACATGAGATGACTGTTCCTCAACCAAGACCCCATTCCTTCCTTCCATCTCCCAGTGCTGTTATTGCAACATCCCTTGTCATGCGTTGCTCTGTATTTCAGTACCAGAGGCTGTTTGGCTCATTAACACAACAGTGCAGTCAGACACCAGCCTGGTCGTATCCTGGAGAGAATCTCCCAAGCCAAATGGGCCTAAGGAGTCAGTCCGCTATCAGCTGGCAATTGCACATCTGGCCCGCGTTCCGGAGACTCCTCTAAGACAAAGTGAATATCCTCACGGAAGGCTTGCTCTCCTGGTTACTGGACTGTCCGGGGGGAAACTATATGTGTTAAAGGTACAGCGAGGCTATTGGGTACTTTTACTGCCATTCTCAAGCACAAGGTTGTGAAAAGGTTAAGCAATTTTTGTTGTTATTGTTTTTACAAAAGGTCCTTGCCTGCCATGCTGAGGAAATGTGGTGTGCTGAGAGCCACCCTGTCACTGTGGAAATGTTTGACACCCCAGAGAAGCCTTATGCCTTGGTTCCAGGCAACACCAGTTTGCAGTTGGATTGGGAGGCTCCATCTAATGTGAACCTCATCAGGTTTTGGTTTGAACTCCAGAAGGTAGATCACACTGTACACTTCAATGCAAACTCTTCTTTTATGCTGCAGAATAAGTTGGAAGCTCTTTTGCATATCTCTAGAGCAGTGGTTCTCAACCTTCTTAATGCCACGACCCTTTAATACAGTTCCTCATGTTGTGGTGACCCCCAATGATAAAATTATTTTCGTTGCTACTTCATAACTGTAATTTTGCTACTGTTATGAATTGTAATGTAAATATCTGATATGCAGGATGTATTTTCATTGTTACAAATTGAACATAATTAAAGCATAGTGATTAATCACAAAAACAATATGTAATTATATATGTGTTTTCCGATGGTCTTAGGCAGCCCCTGTGAAAGGGTCATTCGACCCCCAAAGGGGTGGTGACCCACAGGTTGAGAACCGCTGCTCTAGAGCATTCTCTTATATAAATCAACAATCTATTTGACCACATTCATTGATTCAGGTTTGCCATCTAGAAGCTGTGAACTGTCTAGACTAATTTCTGATAGGAAGAATTCCCAGAGAGATTAGTTTGCTCGTAAAAGGCTCCATGTAAAAGGGTATAAATATGGTTTATGGATTTCATAATACTTATTTTGTTTAGATGTTATCAGCATTGTTCTCTGGTTTAAAGTCCATAGCAATTTGGTATCTTTTATAAAAAAAAAAAAAGAGGAAAGACATATATAAGCAAAAAAACAAAACATGTTTAGAAAGGTTCTTTCAACCATTTAAGGCTAAATAGCAACAGGAGAGAAGTAAGATATAAAACCATTTGATCTTGGCATATAAACTGTAAGTGTTCCTCATCCACAAATCTTCGTGCTTTAACCAATATAAACATATTCACTGAATTGTAAAATATCAATTAATCTAATTACTTCACTGCTAAGGAAAAGTTTAGATTGATTTTATATTGCTACAGTTAGAATGGATTATTACATTTTTATAATTGCTACATTTCATTTTCATCATTATATATGCATGTGTCCATATTTGTAAAGATTGGCTAAGAATATTTTGTTCAGTAGTAACTTAAAAACAAATCAGTATAGTCATGGCCTCATTTTTCTTTAAAAATGAAGTTGCTCTCAGGATAATTTTTAGAGTTTACTACATAAGATTATTTTATGATCTATACTTTTATATAAAAACTATGAAATATGTGACACAACAGTGAATGTTGACTTGACAAAACCAAAGGCCATACTTTAATGGGACTTCTTCCACTGAGCATCTTTATGATGATATGTTGCCTATTTAAAAAATGATCTTATAAAAATGCAGTTAAATTGGAGAAATTAGAAATCACTTTTATTTTTTTACATCTATTTAAGTAAGCTTAATGCAGTTCAGTTTAAAGTCAAGAGGAGGGATATACAGCTCATTTCCCAGATCAAAGAGATGAAATGGGAAGGACCTTGGAGATGATGATCTCTGGCCTCTCATTTTACTGATGAGAAGTCAGAGACCCAGATAGGCGCCAACATGAGTCAGATCTCCCCAGACAGTCAGCAGAGGACCCCAGGTGACTCATTCCTCGGCAGTGCTCCTTGGGCGCTGTCCATAGAAGGAAGAGGAGTCACTAAGCCACCCAACTCCTCAACATTTGGAGAGAAGGACATGGCTAGGGACTGCCTGGTTCAGTCCTCATGACTTTCATGCTACGCTTTTTGTTTCAAAACTCCTTGTATTCTTACACTTGCTCAACACAGGTTTCAGAAAGACCACTTAAAAATCATGAAGCTGAAATTGTCTGATACAGTAATTTCTACACGTGTGACCCTCTATAGATACTAAGGCTATATTCTGAGAGGGTTAATGAGTGATATCTAGTCAGAAAGTTCGTTCTCTTTTGAGCCTACCTTATAACAATAGGACAGCTGGGGACGAATCTATAACTCTATACTGAAACTCTGAGGCAGGTGATAAGGGTGAATACATATCTTTTTAATTAATAATTTTTTTAGAAAGGAAAGAAGGAGACAAAGATAAACTTGTAGTCTCTCTCTTTTCTATCAAAAGTTCCTTACATAGAAAACGAAAGAATTTGAGCACAAAGCTAAATTTCTACCTCGGGCTTAAATTTCATAGATTTTTAAAAATCATAACAGTGTACAGACGAAGAACATACTTGATTTAAGATTGGAGAAAAAGAAGTAATTTTGCTTTGACAATTTTTTTATGGAAGCCCAATAAAACTGTGTTTTCCTCAGCTATCTAGGGAAATCCCTACCAGAACCAAATATTTTTGAAGTTCCAGTCTCTGAGACATTATAGTCTGCACCATCCCCCACCCCCTCCACCAAATAATTTGAAAATCCTTCTGTGGTTGCCTCCACCCCTGCACTTGTAGGCCTCGGCAAAGAAAGGGTCTGATTGTTGTGATTTACCGGGGTAGTCCGGGGCATCTCGCCAAGTTTGTGGTCTGTCCAAAGCATTCGGTGCTGTCGGAAGGCTGATACCCTACAGTTTTCCAAGAGCCCCCTTGGCTAAACATCTTCCTGATATTTCAAGGAGCTGTGTTAATTTCTGGATGGTGTGGAATGTTGGGCCACCTAAACTATTCACTTAAGGTAATTACTCTAGCAGATCATTAAGGAGGCAGGACCACAAAGGGCTAGAATTTTTGAGCCAGTTATTAACCAATCTCTCTCTTTCTCTCTCTCTCTCTCTCTCTCTCTCTCTCTCTCTCTCTCTCTCTCTCTCTCTCTCTCTCTCTCTCTGTTTCTCCCATAGGTTCAGAGTAAATGTTATGGATCCAATGTATCAGTTTCATTAGGTTATATGTCTTGATGGGATTGATACATTTATAAGTTTATCAGGCAATGTCCCTGACATGAGCATTTCTATTTTTTTTCTCAATCCTTTCATTCCTCATTCCCTGTTTCTTTATGTAACAAGGTGGTCTGCTTCTTGAAAGGCCTATAGATAATCATTCCTAACTGAGTAGAAAACTAATACAAAGTGTCCGTCCAATGAAATGGCATGGCCTTGGAGTGCTAAGTGAAAAAGGAGATGTAAAGCAGGTTTATTTATGGAAGCTGATCTTTGTAGGAAACTACTGGGAAAAATACACAAAGAACCCTTGACAAAATGCCACATGCCATGTCTCTTTCTGTTTGTATGTTGAAAAAAATCGCCATTTTCAAATAATGACGTTAAGGGTCCAAATACATGGAATTTTAAAAAAGTAATGTCACAGAGAAAGAAGTTTAAGATTAGTAAAATCAAAGACCCAGTATCTAAAGCAGCGGTTCTCAACCAGTGGGTCCCGACCCCTTTGGAGGTCGAACGACCCTTTCACAGGGGTCACCTAAGACCATCGGAAAACACATGTGTAATTACATATTGTTTTTGTGATTAATCACTATGCTTTAATTATATTCAATTTGTAACAATGAAATTGGGGGTCACCACAACATGAGGAACTGTATAAAGGGTGGCAGCATTAGGAAGTTTGAGAACCACTGATAAAGAAAGTAAAATTTCCTATATTGAACTTCTAACCTGGCTACTGATGGTGGGCAAAAATTTTCTTCTCCTGGGGATCAAGTCTTCCTTTGTATAAAAATAAGCAATGCTAGTTAGATGTCTGAAAAAAGTTTTGGGAAGAAAAACTAAATGTCTTAATTCATAACTCAATGTGGACTTCTTCATAGAATCAAAACATGTAAAAATATCATTATTTTGAAATTAACAAATCTTTGTAATTGAAAGTATCATTGTTTTGGTCCATCACTGTCCCTCAGCAGTGAATTGGCATTTTTAGCCATCCTGATTCAATGCAGGCACATACAATTAGAGGAAATAAGAAGTCAAGCTCTAAATTTCCTCCAATGATGCATAGTCAGAAATGTATGCCCCACCTTAGACTTATCCTAAGAACTATTACTCATGTCAGTTATAGCTGATTGTGAAAAATAAAATGGCTATCTCTGGTAGGTATGATGTTTGGGGTCAAACATAAAGAAACTCTTATTTTTTAATAGAAAATAAATTTTATTTAAAGTTTCATTGATTGCCTTCGTTTGTGAATTTCTGTGTTTAAGAAGGTTTTCTTAAAGAAACAAAAAATGTTAATTGAGTCTTCTTTTTCTAGTGGAAGTACAGTGAGTTTTACCACGTGAAAGCTTCGTGCAGCCAAGGCCCTGCTTATGTCTGTAACATCACAGATCTGCAGCCGTATACTTCTTATCATGTCCGAGTAGTGGTGGTTTACAGGACAGGAGAAAATAGCACTTCACTTTCAGAAAGTTTTAAGACCAAAGGTGAGTATTAACATACAGCACTGAGAAAACCAAACCCTATAAGTTTCCCAATTATTTTCTCAGCACTTAGTTCACCAATCCTAGAGGTCGTCATTTTTTTCTTAAAAGAGTAAATTATTATTTCTAAAACTTGAGTGAAGAAATTAAAGAGTTAGGAGTCCTTATAGGCAGTAATGAGATAATACTCACCTGGTCTTGCAAGATCCTGAACAGGGCAAATTATTTCACTTTTCAGTATTCGGATTTCCTGTCTAGCCATATTTTGCAGCAAGAACTAAATGAAAACAATGTTACTGAGTGTCCAACCCAATATTTACTTACTGATGACTATAACTACATTAAAGATTTTAAAAAATCTAAAAAGTATAGTAAATTCACTAGTGTTCTAAAAGGTATACCATAACACCAAGTTGATCCTATAAGAATCAAGGGAGAATGTACTAAAACTTACAATATTTTCTTTTTGTATCACTTATTTCAGACCAAGCTAAGATATGTTACTCTTAGCATGAATTTATCACTAGTAAAAATGTCAGATACTCATTAAAAAATATGCACTTATATGAAAACTAGAGGCCTGATGCATGAAATTCATGCAAGAGTAGGCCTTCCTTCCCCTGGCTGCTGGCACTGGCGTCCTCTGGCATCAGGGACTCGGGCTTCCCTGTGGCTGTCAGCAGATACCTGGGACCTGGGCTTCCCTCGCAGACCCGGCTTCATCCAGAAGGAATGAAGGACATCCAGAAGGACGTCTGGTCTAATTAGCATATTATGCTTTTATTATTATAGGTATTTCTGAATATTTCCTCTTAGTAAATACAGTCTATAAAAATATGTTGTGCAGGATATTTTATATTTCTAACATATCAATCAGTATTTTCTTTGTTTCCAAAGCTGGAGTCCCAAGTAAACCAGGCATTCCAAAATTATTAGAAGGGAGTAAAAATTCAATACAGTGGGAAAAGGCTGATGATAATGGAAGCAGACTTATGTACTATATACTTGAGATAAGGTATGTCTATTGGCAAAAGTGCTTTGTAAACTACAAAGAGCTAAGTAGGTTAATTGTAAGGTGTTGTTAGATCAAAATTAACAATATTTCTCAATATGTATTTTATAAATAAATGTGAAGGATCTTTAAAGACCTTGAATGTCTCATTATCTTTTTTACTCCGGTCCCAGCAGCTAATTGGCACTCCAATTATAAAGCAGATCTTAAAAAGTGCTTGTCAAAACTTTATGGAAATAATTCTATAATTGGCACATATAATTTATATTTACTTAATATCTATTCTTTTCAAGAAGCTGAGCTGATGTTTAATGTTAGATGGTGGTATGCATGTACATTTCAGATGTTAATTTGTTTTAGCAAGTTGAATAATATATAGGGAAAATTGTCAACGAGCTAGGTATTTTTCAGAACATAAAACCAGGAACAGATCACACAGGACTCTCTATCCACTGTGAAGATTACGGTTTGCAGTGTGTTCCTGGGGCCTGAAAATGTGCCTTTGATGTAAACTAATCAGCTGATGAACATACGCAACCTCAGATCCAGCCAGGATGAGGAGCTCTGTGAATCATAACTGGCTCAGATGAACTGATTTCATGCCAGCTCGAAGGGAGAATTTCAAATTCCATAGACACGCCCCTCACGGGACTATGAAGCCATCTTTTAAGAAGCTCCAAGGACAAGTCACTTCCATAATTATAGTCCTGGCTACTTGAGCTTTAGATCTATTTTTGCTTCATCATGCTCTGGCATTCCCATAACCTTAAAAAAATTTTCCTGCTCATGCTAGAGGAGTGCATTAACCATATTTCTAACTGAAACCTTCTTGAAATTTCTGTTACTGTTGTTCATACAGAGTGAAATACATTCTGACCTACAGAGCTGACTTGGTGGCCTGTGACTGTGATTATGTCTACCAGTCAGGCATCACCATGGCCTTGAAGGACCCTTTTAACATGTTTCCCTCAGTAACACCTTAAATGCATAGCTCCACAAATACTTTGCATTTTCTTGCCCAAGTTTCTACTCCCTGGACAGGGGCTGTGAAGTAAAAGAATGAATTGCTTTACCTTTAGTATCTCAAAGTAACTTCTCCAGTCAGGACACTCCCGTGTACCCTGTGTACTTGCTGACAGTATAGTGGTAGTGATAGTGCCAAATGCATGAACTTGGGAGCTGACCAGACTGTGTTAATTCCCTAGGGCTGCCACAACAAAGTACCACCACCTGGATGGTTTAAAACCACACACATTATTCTTTTACAGTTCTTGGGACTAGAGTGTAAATTCAAGGTGTCAGGTCCAGCTGGTGTGGCTCAGTGGTTGAGCATGGACCTATGAACCAGGAGGTCACAAATTCAATTCCTGGTCAGGGCACATGCCTGGGTTGAGGGCTCGATCCCCAGTGGAGGGGCATGCAGGAGGCAACTGATCAATGATTCTCTCTCATCAATGATGTTTCTATCTCTCTTTCCCTCTCCCTTCCTCTCTGAAATATATATTTAGTTATTGTTGATGGTTTGTTAATCCTCACTTGAGGATATTTTACCATTGATTTTTAGGGAGAATGCAAGGGAGAGGGAAAGACAGAGAGCAACATCGATTGGTTGCCTCCTGCAGGAGCCCTGACCAGGGCCTGGGCCAGGGAGAAGCCTGCAACCAAGGTACGTGCCCTTGACCGGAATCGAACCCGAGACCCTTTGGTCTGCAGGATGGCACTCTATCCACAGAACCAAACTGGGTAGAGCCATAAAAATATATTGAAAAATAAAATAAAATCAAGGTGTCAGTAGGACCATGCTTCCTCTGAGGATTCTAGGAAAGAATCTTTTCCTGCCTCTTGTTAGCTTCTGGCGATTGCTGCCAATCCCTGGCATTCCTTGGCTTGTAGATACATCACTCCAGTCTCTGGCTCTGTCATCACATGGCGTTCTCCTTCTGTGTGTGTGTGTCTGTGCCTAAATCTCTGTCTTCTTAAGAGGGCATCAATCATTATGTTTGAGCCTATCCCAATCCAATATGATCTCTTTAACTTTATTACATCTGAAAATACCCTATTTCCAAATAAAGTCATATTCACAGGGTCTGGGTCGGCCTGAATTTTGGTAGGACACTATTTAACCCAGTACACAGACCGTGTTTAACTCCTTGCTCTATTCCATTTATAAACTTAAATGTTCTCATCTGGAGAAAAAGAAAAAGGGATAATAATATCTACCTCTATAGGCTGTTGTGAAGACCCAGTGAAATGAAATGACATGAAAAACACCAGTATTGTATGTTGTAAATAAAAGATGTTCAGCCAATGTCAGAATTCTTCCTCCTCTTTCTCCATGGCCAATAGCTGTGAAGAGCCATTTTATAAATGTTTAAGTGTCTCATTCTTTTGGGTCAGAATTGTTTGGGTTAACCAATGAAATTGCCAATGCCTAACATGAGACTTCACAAAATGTACAAAAATACCATGTCATCAAGCTTCACTCAGGATGGTCCCTAGGACCTTCAGCTCCTTGTCACCAACTCGCTTCTCTGGTCCTCCTGATATACTTCCCACCGCCTGTCCCTCACAGGCTTAGCCTTTGCTGTCACTGTTTCTCTTTGGGACAGCTGCCCAGTTAGTAGTAGCAGAACTGGCTTCCATTATATATCCCCGTGCGTATTGTGGGTTGGTACCAAGTCCTAAAACTGCTGTGGTCTGAAAAGTTTCAGACTTCTTACTGTCAGAGAAGACATAACTGAGGGGCCTTCAGTCTGTGATTCCAGCCTTCCAGCCACATCTTTTAAACCCAGCTATTGTGCTCTTTCCATGTTTCATGCGAAGAATCATGTGGATTGACTTTGAGGTGACGGTAGGCCAATACAAATGGCAACACCAAAACTTGTAACTTCAGACATAATAACTTTGGTAGCTGAGCTATTATACCTTCCTGATCAATTGTATGTTTTTTGTGTTATTTTTATCTGGATATGGTATTTGGAGACTATAGATATAGAGGCTGAGAAATAAGAAAAAGAAAAAATTTCCAATAAAAAATTATGGAACAATTGTCTTATGTGTTTGGAATTCTGAAGAAAGTTTATGCATTCTGACAGTAGGAAAAGTTGCCTCAGCTTTCTCTTGGCCATTGATTATTCATTATTTTCCTGATGGGCTGAGTTGGTTGGCTCCATTCATTGCTGAGATGACTTTATAAGACTCTGCTGTGTTCTGTGTCCAAGCCATGTGACAGGAATGAGATCAAGGGTAAAGTGTGCAATAGGAGATGCTCTGGAGTTCTGGCATTAAAATGATCTATGAGTGTCTAGAAATAACACATATGTTGTCTCATATATTTTCTATATTCATGGTTTTGCTCTTTCTTTTGCAGAAAGGGTACTTCAAATGATTCACTGAACCGGAACTTAATGTGGAAGATGGCGTTTAATGGATCCTGCAGCAGCATTTGCACATGGAAGTCCAAAAACCTGAAAGGAACATTTCAGTTCAGAGTAGTAGCTGCAAATAATCTGGGATTTGGTGAATATAGTGGAATCAGTGAGAATATTTTATTAGCTGGAGGTATATTACCATGTCTGCCTACTAACTTATCACACATACTAACTTATTACACAAAGGTTCAGAGATAAAGATGGTGCATTCTTAACATTAGCAATAAATCAGGTGACTGTAAAACTTATCATCTCAACTACCAAACTATTCATTTCATCTGATGTGCTCTTTTTAAACACCAACACCATCATCATTTTTATCCTCAGTAATAATTAGCTAGTTCTTAATGTCACCTCATCAAATCCATGCTCCTAGATAGACGCCCAAGGCTGTCCAGAGCCTGGTCTTTGTCCAGCCTTATTATCCTATTATTGGTACTCTCATCTTCTGTACAAGAGGCCTAAAGTTATACTTTGTCTTTTCCCCAATATTTCCACATTCCATTGTGTTCTATTTCATCTTTCTAATCACATAGGCTAGAAATCTCAGTACCTCCTCTAGTCAGTCACCAAGTTCTGTTGATTTACTCTCTTGACTTCTGTCTGATAAGTTCCCGTCTTCCTATTTCCACTCTGGCTTTCCTCAGTTAAGCTATCGTTTCTTGTCTGTGCTCTTGGCTTACTCACATGCTGACTGTTAATCTAGCCAAAGCACAGCTGGACCGCTGGCCCCCTCTCAGAAGCGCCCGAAAAGGCTCTCATTCACTGTCTTCAGGACCATGTACAAACTTTTGTGTGGGCATTTAAGGCCTTCTGTAGTTTCTCCTCTTTCCCAATATTTACCCTTTACAGCCACATCAGACTATAAAAAGCTTTTATGACACTAGCTCTCCAGCCTTTGTTTCCTTCGGCCTGGAATGCAGGTTCCCACAACCTGCCATTCACCCCTATCTGGCATTTCCTTTCTGCCACTTTCTGTCAATTGAAATTCTTTGCATCTTTCAAGGCCTAACTTAAATGAACCCATCATGATGCTTAACTGATACTCCTTAGGCAAATAAGTGATTATATTTTATACCCACACAGCCCAATAGTCTATATAAAACTTTCATCATTCTTTTATTATTATTATTATTATAGTTAGTTATCTGGCTAAGATTTCAGCAAACTTTTTTCTGAAAAGAACCAAATAGTAAATACTTTAGGCTTTGCAGGCTGCATCTGATCTCTGTAGCATATTTTTCTTCTTCTTTCCTTTTTAAAATAATACTTTAAACATCACTCTTAGTCCCTGGGCAGTGCAGAATCAGGCTGTGGCCAGATTTAGCCCACAGGCCATAGTTTGCCAAGCTCTGTCTACATGTTTATCTCCTCTTCTCAACTGAAACTACCGAAGAGAAGGTACCATGTGTTCATGTTTATATTCCTCAGTTTAATGTCCATGGAATTAAATATGTATGAAGATGTTACAGAATAATAATAATCCCAACTATATAATATAAGATGAAGACTGAGACTTCTTGTCCCAAATTTGTTAAAAGGATTATCCATGTTTTCTCGATCACTTTAAAGTAGAAACCTGGGTGGGTACACGCCTATGATGTATTGGTAAACTGACTCTTTGGAAAAACACACATAAAAAACATTGATTTTTGATTACCCAGGATGTAAATACTCTTACCATAGATGATGTCAAGCTACATAGTTTAACTGGCTCCTAAAATATCATTGGAGCTAGTCTGGTATATCAGGTAGATCACCTAGACCAGTGATGGCGAACCTTTTGAGCTCGGCGTGTCAGCATTTTGAAAAACCCTAACTTAACTCTGGTGCTGTGTCACATCTAGAAATTTTTTGATATTTGCAACCATAGTAAAACAAAGATTAATATTTTTGATATTTATTTTATATATTTAAATGCCATTTAACAAAGAAAAATCAACCAAAAAATGAGTTCGCATGTCACCTCTGACACGCGTGTCATAGGTTCACCATCACTGACCTAGGCAGTCTATTCTGTGAATTAATTTCTTTTTCTCATTTATTTCATTAGATGGTTTTTGGATTCCAGAAACAAGCTTTATACTTACTGTTGTAATTGGAATATTTCTGGTTGTTATAATCCCATTGACCTTTGGTAAGTAAAAAAAATTTTTTTAAATAGGTAATACATAATTTATTTAATTATAATAATTGATTTATTTCTTAGTTTATTTAATCTCCCACATGAAATAAATTCATAAAATTTACAATGTTACCTTTGGCTATAAGTTCTTAACCATTATCTTTTGTGAATTGTTTTCTGGATCGAAGAGTAACTATTTTATGACAACTATAGCTATATTTACACTTCATGGTATATTTTAGATAAAACTACTTGCAAGAACACTGACTTTAACTTTCTTTAAAATAGTGTTTGTTTCTGATTGACTAAAACAAGTGGTTTTTTTTTGTGGTGTAAAGTTTGAAATAAATGAGAAATTACTTTGGGTATATAAAAAAAAGGGTAGGATTAGTGCAAGACCAGTGGCAATCCTTGCTTGGGGTAGTCTGGGCTCCAGGCAGACAGCCTGGTTTGGAATGAGGAGGGCCTCTTTTACAGAAGATCCATTTCTGGACTGTAGGATCCACTCTCACTTTCAGATGTCTGACTTGCTTATTTCAAATCCCTGCTCATTTATAAATGACTAAGGAAACAGAATTAGATTAGGTAGATAGAAAACTGGCCATTTCCAACTATTCTTTTTATACTAATGTGCTAGTCCTAAAAGGCCTTTTAAAAAATAATTTGGTTTAATGCTGAGAAAATACAGTGACAACCCCAAAGGGCTTTGTCAAATATTGGGCCCTATAGGGTTATTATAGTGATCACACATTCTGATTCATTCTTATTGTTTCAGCAGAAACATCAGTAGCACTTTCTTTCAGTCCCTAAAATGTCTTGTTTTGGATTATAAGATATATGATCATCTTATTATTAATATGATGTGCCTCAGACATGCTAAAACATTGTAAGAAAAGCATGATATTTACCAGAAAAGAGCACTCAAATACATATTCAGGAAATTGTGGCTTTTTTTGCATAAATAAGGAAAAATTAGAAAAGAACATTTAAGGAAAATTTACACACATATAGTTGAAATCTCTCAGTGTAGAAAAAGCCGATATTTCACTTGTGTTCTAAATCTTTATTTTCCCCCAAACCGATTGGAATCATAAGCTATTGGAGAGCACATATTGAAACCTGAATTGAGATTTCTTATCACAGATTCCACCCAGATAATATATGGAACTCCTTCAGCTAACTTGGAAAGCTAAAAATTTCATCTGACCCTGCCAGGATATTAACCTGTGGTTCCAGGGAGTCTAAGCATTGCACAGCTGATGTTTGTGTCACTAAGCCAGCCCCTCCAGAGTTACGCATATGACTGCAGTATATTTGGCAGTTGGCATATAGGCTTGACTGCTTGTCTGCTTTCCTACTGGGAAGGAGTCTTTCATGAAGAATCTTCCATCTGACCTTTGCTTGCCTACTTGTACATCACCATTGTTTAAACTCATAACTCTGGTGCGTGAACACGAGATAATTTCAGACAACCTATTATGCTTTTAAGACATCCTGAGGATATCTGACTTTCTCAGGCCTTGAAGGTCTTTATTCTATTTGGAACTCAAACAGAGTTTTGAGTACAGCTAAGCTAATCTGGTTATTTAGGAAACGTGCATGTGGTTTTACTAGTAGGGGTGTGGAAGTGCATGAGAAAAGACTGAGTTCTTAAAATAATGAGAAGTAGGAATTGTTTTAAAATTTGCATTGTGCTGAGGGCTCTCATCAGTCATACTTATAAATATAAAATTGAAACAAGGATTTTAAAATAAGCATGGACATCTTTTGCTGTGGGGAGCAGTCACAGCTAATGTGTAACATCAGCCATATGCTGGGAGCAGAGGGAAAGCTAAAGTAGTAAACTACAATTGCTGACCTCGGGATTTGCCATTTAATAAGGGAGGTAAGACCTATCTGTGTGAAAAGATAAATAGTGATATATGTGTTAAGCAACAACAAAAGGCAATGGATGGTACATGAAATACACAAGACAGTGATATAGAAGTGCTTAGAGACACAATTAGTCTTATACGTTCAGAGATGAAAGATCAGTAGAGGTTGCAGAAGTCTTGTAAGGTATCACTGAAAATGGGGGACATTAGCATGGCTTTTAAAAATGAAGAGGGGTATGAGAGCATTTCAGGTTTGAAAACCTGCATTAGCAAAAGTACTTAAGATCTACCCCTGTGTGGTCCCTTAGATGGAATTTCACTTGAATAAAACTCTAACCTGTTAAATACAGAAGCTACTATAGAATAAAGTTCAAATTTTTCATGATAATCTAACAAAGCATCCTTGCTGTTTTCAGCTTCTGAACCAATATTCTAGGGTAGATGGGTGATCTTATTGACATAATTGTATTTTAATCTATAAAAATATCATTTATTTATAATTTATATTTATGATTATAAAATTTGCTCATTGTAGGAAGAAGATAATATAAATCATCCATGATTTCATGACTAGGGAGGACCACTGCTAATATTTGGTGGGGTCCATTCCAATAATTTTTCTCTGTATTTGAATGTATATATATGAACAACAATGGATATATACTCTGATACTCTGCATTTTCAAAAAGTGTGCCATTATAGCCATTATATTGATAGCACTCCTCAGGTTTACCGAGGAGTATAACCTGGACATATCTGGACTCAGAAATGAATTTGTTTCACTAATAATTATTATTATGCCAGGGTGTTTTGGTTTGACTTTGCTTTATGAGTGATTTTTAGAAATAAATTCTGATATTAAGATACTTCAACTCGTTTATAACAGCAATAAGAAATACATTAAATATTACTCTGATATTCAATGAAAAGTGAGGTAGTATAAGCTCTGCGTTTTTCTATGGCCTGCTACCTAGATTTAATTAGTTTTTTATTATTATTATGGGCATACTTTTCAATTAAATTCTGTTATTTTACCAATGGTGTTCTTATGGATAAATACTTAAAGTGTATTGTTAACATATCCGAAAAGAAAAGGATGCAATACTTTGTTTTGTAAATTATGTCTTTTTTCTTTATAGTCTGGCACAGAAGATTAAAGAATCAGAAAACTCCCAAGGAAGGGCTGACCGTTCTCATAAACGAAGACAAAGAGTTGGCTGAGCTGCGAGGTCTGGCAGCTGCGGTGGGACTGGCTAATGGCTGCTGTGCGACACAGTGAGTATCTGGGGCATCATGACGGGGCAGCTAGATGAAGGGCGGCCAGGATAACCTGGGCTTATGTCTACTCTTCTGTTTCAGAAGTTGTATGGTGGTTGCCTACACAAGCTCTTTAAGATAGATGAGTATTGAACTTTTGTTGTCATCAGAACTAAAAAAATATTTAAATGTCTTTATAAGACATTATACTATGGTCCATACAAAAGGGAATTATATAGTCATAGGCCTTGAAATTTGTAACTTAAGACATGAAAATGAAGGATTTGGAGTAGACACAGAAGTGATCTAAATTACCTAGCTATTCAGAGGTGACTTTTCCTTGAGAAATACTCAGCACACCTAACACTCAAGATTCTCTTTTAAAAACTCAAAGCATTTTTAATGCAGATGCATTTCTCTCCTCATAATATTCCAGGTGAGAAGCTTGGCTTCTTAGAAGTTAACCTGATGAAAATGGAGTTGATTTTTGTGGTCATAGTAAATTTTGTTTTATATAAGAGATCAGGTGTGCGAACTAGTTAAAGTAAATGATTTTTAGCTCATAAATCCAGCTGTATGTATTACTAATTTGCAATCACTTTTTATACAAACTGGTAGCCTGAAGGAATTAATTGATAACTGTAACAAAACAAGCTACAGCAAAAAACCTGAGGCAATTTACACCCAGCCATGTGTCTATCAAAATGAAGGTGCCTATTAGCAAAGTGACAAGGTCTGCCTGGGTTTTAGAATAGGGAAGGAATATTCTGGATGGTGGAATAGGGAAGGAATTGAAATGCAAAATCCCACTTCGCTTTATCACATAGAATGCACTTCAGTGTTGCGAAACCATGAGATTTCTTTCTCATACGCTTTCGAACACTAACACCAACACCAACTTGTAAACCATCTGTATTTTGGGAGACCAAGAATATTGCTATTTTCTAGTACTCTTCCAACCCAAGAGGAGATTGAAAGTCTTCCTGCCTTCCCTCGGGAAAATCTGACTCTGCGCCTCCTGTTGGGAAGTGGAGCCTTTGGAGAAGTGTATGAAGGGACAGCAGTAGACATCTTAGGAGCTGGAAGCGGAGAAACCAAAGTAGCAGTGAAGGTAACATGGTTTTAACTCCTTGACATGTTATGTCAGCATATTTACATAGATTTGCATGGGTGCAACTATAATGAAAGACGAGTGATCTTAACTGAAAAGAGAACTAGAAGGTAGGAGACTATTCAGGGCTATAGAAATCACTTTTTTCCCCCCTTCCATTTCCTACATAAGCTCTGAAATTAATACTAATCTCTATGATTACTAATTAGTGAAGACCCAGCAGTTTCCCCCTTCAAATATACTGTAAGAGAAGTGAGGTTGTTAAGTACATTCTCAAGGTAGGTAATAGGGCAGATTGTAAGTATTTCAGACTTGTGGCCATATTGTGTCAGTTGCAACTATGCCACTCTATCATTCAGTATGCAAACCAATGTGCATGATTATGTTCCAGTTAGACTTTATTTATGAAAACTGAAGTTTAAATTTCACACAATTTTTATGTGTAATGAAATTATATTCTTTTACTTTCTTCAACCATTTAAAAATATAGCATGTCAATTATACCTCAATAAAGCTATAAAAAAATCTCACAACTATTATCAGATAGCAAGCTGTACAAAAATAGGTGACAGGGTGAAATTGGTCCACAGGCTACATTTTGCTGACCTGTAATTGAGCAATATCTTCATCACAGCTTGTTAGGAATCTATTGCTTTGAGGGTGGGCATATCATCAGAAAAGTTGGCCAAATTTTCTCAACTGGTTTAAATAAGTGTTTATTTTTCTTACGTAACAGGTGACTACTGGCTTTAGTGCAGTGCCAGTAGATCTGAAATTCCCTTGACTTTGTACATGTGTGTTGCCTCATGGTCCCAAGATGGTTGCCAAGGAATCAGGCATCACATCTTCATTCAGGCCAGAACACTCATTGACCAGAACTTAGCCATATTTGCAAAAGAGGCTGGAGAGTTCCAGGCCATGATTTTCATGATGATCTCAGACCAGTTGCCTAGGACTGGGCACCTTGCCTCTAAGAAACAAATTAGGGTATTGTTAGCAAGGAACCCTGGGAAACAGATGTTGAATAGAAAACTCTGAAAATTAAGAAATTACCTTAAGCACCAAATTTGTTCTCTTTTTAAATTTTTTACATTTGGAGAGACTTTGTGTAAATATTACTAGCTAGGTCTTTTATCTATCAGATATTTCACTTAAATACTTCCAATAACAGGAGCTGTCTTTTGAATAGGTTTACATAGTACATTCACATGTACTATCCATTATTTATTTTGCAATTTCAGGGTGAATATTATAAAACAAAACAAATATTATCTCCATTGATACACTGAGATCACAGAAATGTCTGCTATACTGATTCTTGACTCGTTTTTATGTTGCAGACTTTGAAGAAGGGCTCCACAGACCAAGAAAAGATTGAATTCCTGAAGGAGGCATATCTGATGAGGTATCAGGGAAGCTCTAAAATAATTTTTGCTTGGTATGGGTAGGAAGCTTTTACATCTGATTTAACATTCAAAATCACCTGACATAATAAATCATGCCCCAGATGAGCGTGGCTGAAGTCTAAATGGAATTATGCCTGTAATGACAAGTGTTTTATAGAATCCAGTCTTCCAAGTCTGGGCACAGGCAGTCGTCCAGCAAAAGGTTTTCCTTTTACCTTCAATAAAAAGTGTGTTTTGCAAGTGACACCTGAAGCTGATCAGCTTTAAACATGCTTATGGTCTTCTAAATACATGGGAATGGTTGGAGTAGACTGAGTAAGAGAGAGTTCTCTTAAGTACAGTGATGCCAATGAAAATATCCCTTGTCTTGGTAAACTTGACTTCAGTGTTAGAGTTAGTTGTTGAGCATGAAAACTGATGAAAGACATCTTAACGGGAAGACCTGGGGCAGTGGTTCTAGTTATTCGATTGGAATTTATTTGCTTTGACATCTTGAGGAAACAGTTGTAGCCAAATTTGCCTGTCTGAATTGTCCCTCTAAAAAAGAAAGAATAATATTTCATACTTGTGATGACAAAAAACATAATGTTTTCAAATACCTTTTGAAGAAGGAAATTAGTTCAAATTACTTTCTTTTCCAAAACACAAAATACTTAATAGAAACATGGTTTCTTCTAAAACACACGCTGTTCTGTCCATATCCACTGGCCACTAGGGGTTGCCATATTACCTCTGAAAGGCAAGAATACAGACCATCACTTGGAAAAAAGAGGCCTCCGTTTGTCAGAGAAAAATAAAATCAGGGGTTTTGATGGAAACTATAGATAATCAATTGCTCTATTCCGTGAAGGCCCTCAGCTAGGACCTCTGTCGCTGTCATGTCACCGGCCTGTCTCTTTCTACTTTTAGTAAGTTTAATCATCCCAACATTCTGAAGCAGCTTGGAGTTTGTTTGCTGAATGAACCCCAATATATTATCCTGGAATTGATGGAGGGAGGCGATCTCCTCACCTACTTGCGTAAAGCCCGGATGACAACGGTAAGAAATGGGGTCCCCAGTATTGATTTTATAAAGCAAATGTCCTATTCCAAGATTGTATTACAATGGAAAAAAGTAAAAACAAACAAACAAAACCAAGCCATCAAAATAGTAAAAACACATATTCAAAAACAATTTAATTATCAAATCCCTGTTGAGCATTTATTATACAACTGTGAAGTATGTGGCTCTTGCTTTTATTTTATTTCATTATTTTTATTTTTTGTTAATCCTCACCCAAGGATATTTTCCCATTGATTTTTAGAGAGAGTGGAAGGGAGAGGGAGACACACATACAGAGAAACATCAATGTGAGAGAGACACATTGATTGGTTGCCTCCTGCACATGCCCCGACCAGGGCTGGGGATTGAGCCTGCAACAGAGGTATGTGTCCTTGATCAGAATTGAATCTGGAACCCTTCAGTCTGAGGGCCCAACGCTCTATCCACTGAGCCAAACTGGCTAGGGCACTCTTGCTTTTAAGGAACTTGTCGTGTGGGAGGGAGGTAAGTCACATATAAATAACCCATGTAAGGTGGAAAATGGAGGACCCATTAGGATGGAGTAGAGAGTCTATTGCTGAAGCACAGAGGAGAGAGAGATGATTTCCAGCTGAAGAGTCCCGGAAAGACTTCGTGGAGGAGAACCAATGAAGGTGGGAGACAGAAAACTCTCTGAAACTGCATGAGTTGTGAAAGGCTTTGACCAGGGATAGACCTGGGTGGAGGTTCAGTATGTCCAGAGGGGTTAGCAAGAGATGATAGATGGGAAGCCATAGTAGCATCTGGAGTCAAGGAAGTCCAACAAGGGCTGGTGAGGCATCCCCACAGGTTGTCACAGAGGCGGTCAGAAGCAAGTGATGTTTAGGAATCCAGATAGGCAGGCAGCATTCTGAAAATCTGCCAGCAGAAAACAGGGTGCTAGCCACAGGACTGACTTTCAGGAGCAAGATTCTCTGTGAAGCCAGTCTTCACAAGTAGGGTAGGTTTTGCCAAGAGCAAAGCAGAGCTCCATTCACAGAGGAACAAATGAACCAGTTGGGACACTCAGACACAGGCCATGAGGTTGGTATCTGGTGGACCTGAGCAGGACTGCAGGGGACTGATTCTAGGGAGTACGTTCTAGCCTAGTTATCACACCGAGGTGTGATTGAATGGGACCATGGCAATGCTGAGTCCCAGAGTATCAGGATTCTCCCTATTTTGGCCACAAGACCTGAGCTTTGCTGGGCATGTAAAGCACTTAGGAGTCCCTATCTATGAGGGATTGGGGGTTTCAAGGTTGGGAACCATTATAGATGCTCAGTGGAAGATGTGGATAGAAGTCAGGACTAAGGAGGGCATTCCATGAAACAGTGATAACAGGAATATCGAAGAGAGGTTGAGAAATGCAGAGCAGGTATGAAAACACGTCCAGTGTCCCAGTGTGACCCCAGCCCAGACTGTGAGAGGAGAAACTATGGGAAATAAATGGACATAAAGAGAGACTTGTGCAGCCTGGGGCTGCCATGGAGGTTGCGCTCAGGAATCTGTAATAAATCCTACAGGCAGTGGGTCACAACCGAATGAGCTAATTAAAGCACAAGGAGGCTGGAGACGTGGGGAGTTTGGGAAGAGTCAGACAGGGATGATAAAGGCCTGAACCAGGGTAATTGCGGGGAAATGGCAAGGGACAGAGTTTTTCCATCTGGTACTAATAAAAACTTCAGTGGCTTATTTTTTTCCCCCCCATGTAGAAATCGTTGTAGCCATACAGGCTCAATTTATTTGGGCTGGCTCCCTTAGATGTGACCCTGAAAAAGAGTCTGTTTTGCTCATATGAGGAACAAGCCCATTGTCATGACTGACACAATAGTGTGACCTTGGGTAAATACTTAAACTGCTGAGCACTGATTAAACTATCATTATTTCTGCATAGGCGAGCAGCTGCTGTTTATTAAGTGCTTTTTATATACCAGCCAGATTACATATCTTATGTGAAAACCTACGAAGGCAGGCTTATTATTTCCACTTTACTCATGAGAAAGCTGCTGAGTGAACAAAGCAAAGGGAGCTAGAACAAAGCAAACTAGAGGCCCGGTGCATGAATTTGTGCATGGGTGGAGGTCCCTTGGCCTGGTCAAGGTCACACAATGAGTAAGTAGCAGAATCAAGTTTCAAATCTTGGTCTGTCAGAACTAATGCCCTGTTTCCAACAAAGGTTCCATATTGCCTCTGCTTACTAAATGTAGTCTTTTTTATGTATATCTGGGTAGAAAGCACATAAATATAGTTCTTTTCCTCTTTGCTTGAATTCTTGCAACCATAACTAAAACTTTCTTTAAAATATCATGTATATGTGTGCACATGCATATTTATGAAACCATTTATACATACCTATGTATATGTGTACTTTGTGCAAATTGGAAAAGTGCCTAATCTTTTTCATTTCTTACAGTTTCATGGTCCTTTACTCACCTTGGTTGACCTTGTAGACCTGTGTGTAGATATTTCAAAAGGCTGTGTCTACTTGGAGCAGCTGCACTTTATTCACAGGTACAGTGATCCTGGATACAGGTTCCTATGGATATTGGCACATTAGCCATCTGTAGTTTGGGTAAAATATAGAAAATAAATACTTTCAGTCCTTTAAAATAGCAATAATTCTAAAAAAAAAAAAAAAGTCTCTCTTCTCTACAGACCTGCTAGTATTACTTGTCTGATCTCTGGAACTGTATTATTATTATTATTATTATTTAATTAAATATAGCTTTTGCCATAGGGACCTGGCAGCTCGAAATTGCCTCGTCTCGGTGAAAGACTACAGTAATCCATCACGGGTAGTGAAGATTGGAGACTTTGGACTCGCGAGGGACATCTACAAAAATGATTACTATAGAAAGAGGGGAGAAGGCCTGCTCCCTGTTCGGTGGATGGCTCCGGAAAGTTTAATGGATGGAATCTTCACAACGCAGTCTGATGTATGGTGAGCTTAATAGGACACGAAGAAATGTGGGCAGAACTATCCAATGTCAGAGCTGAAAATGAACTTAAAAGGTCCTCTACTCTTTTTATTATTCTTATTACTAGAGCCCCAATGCATGAATTCATGCCTGGGTGGAGTCTGGCCAGCCCAGCCCCAAATTGGAGTGGATGGGGCTGGGCCTGTCAGGAGGAGGAGACGGCAGGAGGTTGGCCAACTGGCCCACCCTGATGGGGGCCCAATCAGGGCCAGGCCAGCTGGGGGGAGGGGCTGAGGGCGATTGGCCAGTGGGCCCCTCCCCCCATTGGGGTGGGAGGCCGATAGGGGGTCAGCAACCAGGGGAGGGGCTGTGGGAGGTTGTCTGGCCAGCCCCACCCCTGATTGGTGTGGTGTGACTCATCGGGGGCAGAGCTGGCTAGGGGAAGGGGCTTCGGGTTGATCAGGTGGTGGGGGCCCATCAGGGGTGGCGCTGGCCAGGGGGAAGGGCCACAGGAGGGTTGGCTGGCTGCTTCGCCATTGATTAAGATGGGAGATGCCGATCAGGGGCAGGGCCAGCTAGCCCCCCCCCCCCCATTGGGTTGGTTGGCTGGCTGCAGTGGGCGTCATAGTGACAGGTTGTTCTGGTCCTTATGGTGTTCCAGTTGCTGGCTTTTTATATATATATAGATTATTGTTGTTGTCAGTATTACAGATGTCCTCCATTTTCTCCCCCTTTGCCACCCTCAACCCTGCCCCGCCCCAGGCCTTCACCACTCCATTGCTTGTGTCCATGGGCTATGCAAGTTCTTTGGTTAATCTCTTCCGCTCCCCTCTGAAATCTGTCAGTCTATTCCAGTCTATTCCATGTCTCTGGACCTATTTTGTTTGTCAGATTATTTTGTTCATTAGATTCCACATATAAGTGAGATCATGTGATATTTGCCTTTCTCTGACTGGCTTATTTCACTTATCATAATACTCTCCAGGTTCATCTATACTGTCACAAGGGTAAGAGATCCTTCTTTTTTACTGCTGCATAGTACTCCATTGTGTATTGTTTTTAATGTGAGAAAACAGAAGACCAGAGAGGTTGCAGTTTGCCGCCAGCTAAAGTGAAAGCTGGCATCTAAAGGGGACTATTCCTGGGTCTCATCAGCTTACATACCTCCCTCCAATTGGTTTTGATCCTTTATCTTACTAGTGTACATGAAATCGCTGCATTTATTTCAGGTATTTTATTACTCCCCAAAATGTAGAGGCTTTGACTAACAGGAATTTGGACCTATGAATTAATATCTAAGTATGTGTCTAAATGCCTACTATTTGGGGATGTTTGGTCATTCATTTTTAAGTAGACTTTAAATTAAAGATCTCAAAATCATTAGAACATTGGGGAGATTTAGAAATCTCTTTATTATTTGAATAGAATCCCTCATTTTTGCTTGTTGACCCCAAACCTTTGATGAGAGCTGCTCAAAATGTAAGGATTTGTTTAATAACTTTTAAGCTGAACTGGCCCTAGGTACAGTTGGGGATGAGATAAAATCTAGGTTCAGTGCTGCCAGTTTTTATTCATACCTTCCCTCTCCATGTTTACTTGCACTCAAACTTAGAAAAACAAACAAACTGAACTGCTTTCTTGCTTACCCGGAAGTATGTTCACATAATGGAGGTCTGCAGTTCTCCAGTGGTTCATCCAGAAAGGAGGAGCAAAGTGTGTGTGTGTGTGTGTGTGTGTGTGTGTGTGTCCCCACTGACCATTCCTATCACCTCTGAAGTGCTGCTGGTAGGCAGTTGCTTGTTCTATTTTCTTTTTAAATATATTTTTATTGATTTCAGAGAGGAAGGGAGAATGAGAGACAGAAACATCAATGATGAGAATCATTGATTGGCTGCCTCCTGCATGCCCCACACTGGGGATCAAGCCGGCAACCTGGGCATGTGCTCTGACTGGGAATCGAACCATGACCTCCTCATTCATGGGTCGATGTTTAACCACTGAACCATGTTGGCTGGGCTCTTGTTCTACTTATTCTTGTGATCAACTTGCTTTTAAGCCTCCCATTTGCTTTTTATGGACCCAATCATTCCAATCGCAAGATGTAGCGCGTTGCCCCAGAAGTATTATGTTGGAGAAACTACTGTAAACATGATGTTTGTAATAAGTAGAATTAAAGCAAACTCTCTAATATCCTTAGGTCTTTTGGAATTCTGATTTGGGAGATTTTAACTCTGGGTCATCAGCCTTACCCAGCCCATTCTAACCTTGATGTTTTAAACTATGTGCAATCAGGAGGGAGACTGGAGCCACCAAGAAACTGTCCTGATGATCTGTAAGTTATAATTATGTTAACGTAAATACCCAAAAACAAAAACACAAGCACATGCACTCTAATGCCTCATTGGTGTGGTATTTTAAAATGAAAACTGGTCTTCATATATTTGTATATCCTACATAAGATAGAAATTGATTTATATTAAATTTACTAAATACATGAGTTTTTAAAATTTATATATACACATTATATTTCACTTCAGAAACAACATCTGGAAGAGCAGAATATATTTTTAGTCCTGGTTAAACGAATTATAAGAAATAAAAGCTCTGTGTGTGTGTGTGTGTATAATATGGGGTGTGTATGTGTGTGTACCATTATATTTTGGAAGCTATGATTTGGCTAATATCTTAATCTGCAAATTAAAATATTCTATTAAGTAGGAATGTATTGTGTAAAAGTTGCATGGCATTTGTTAACATAGCTGATCTTGGGATAGAGTACTGCTAAAAATTATAGAGGTTGTTATCTGTTTACGATCTAAACATGTAATGACTAAGTATTAGTGACTCTATCAAATTGATCCTAGCCACTATTAAATTTTAATAAACTTGTGATCCTCAAAGAGTAGGCAATTCTGATCTAATTATAAAGGAAAAACAAGACAAGTTATTTTGCTGAGTTCTAATCCACCTTCTTGTGAACAACCTCGGCAGAAATATCGTCTTGAGACTTTTCCCAAGAGGTGTTTTACCCAAGAAGTTTCTGAAAGAACATACAAGCAACAAGTATAAATTTCTCTGCTATGTGCACGACACCATGCTAAGGACCGTATGCTATACAGAGGTGTTTAAAACAGGGGCATGAGTTTTCAACATCTCAGATTGTATTTTGAAAGAAAAGACGCACACGTGGAGAGCTGGAGAACAAGCCAACATGTAATAAAGTGCTAAACTCTGTGGTACAGGCAAGTGCAAGAGGAATTAGCAGTATGCGGATACACACCACGATTGTACTGCCTTGACTATGTTGTTATTTAGAGGATTATTCATACCGGAGCCAAAAGATGATTAAGTACTGGGCACCTTGGTTGGATGTTTTACTGGTGAATGTGTTTGTATTATTTAAATCTTCCAGCTAGAAGAAGATTTGAATCACTGATTGTTTCTGGCGTAGCGTTTACAGCCTCTGGGATATTGACAGGGAGATTAGGTATACACAGACCTGAACAAGTTTGGTGACAGTGACTAAAAATATGCTTCAGGTATTTGGGGGAGATGGGGAGAAATTCTGTAAGTTAGGAGTAAGAAATGATACACAATTTGAAAACCTTTGATCTAGAGTTTGATACCCCAGCATACCTAAGCATGAAACACATTTTTATTAAATAATTAGCAACCTAATCCTATTTTTGCATCATATATATATATATATATATATATATATATATATATAGCACTCAGAAAATGTCCCCAGAATTTCAGTCACATGAAATTTTCATTGTGCTATTAGAATTTTATCGGACATAGGCACTTTAGGAATCATTGGTATGGTATCAGTCACTGTTATACATTTTGATTGATGTGTTCACTTATATAGTTTGGGGAGGACAGAGGTGGATAACAAATTATTTATTGTGGAACAAAAAAATGTAGGTTTGTTGAACTTTATTCTAATCCAAAGGTATCAAAAAATGCAGCTGGAAGGAGGAGGGAGAATGCATGCTAGGAAAGTGCTAGGAAAAGATAATATTCTACATAATTTTATCTTGATTATTCAGTTGGATACATTATTGCTCTACTTTTGTAAAAATATAGTTTCCATGAAACCAAATTTTCCACTGGTAGTCTTGAAGTTCATTTGAACATCAGTAATTAAAAAGTAAACAATGCTCTCAGCCCTCCCTCAGAGCCCCGGAAGGGTTAACTCATTGCCCAGCAGGAAAACAAGATGTGCTAGGAAATGGAGCTCAGAGCAATGCCATTCAATCTGGCTCTGGCCTTAAGTTGTCATGATAAAGATTAACTACTCTCCTTAGAGTACAGAGGGAACTGATTTTTATTTGAAGCCGTTCTCTGAGATCACAGGCCAAGCTTAGAGGGTTGAAAGTCTGCACTGAGCCATCCTGCACCTTCTATTCACTGCTTAAATTCCCAGCACCTGGATGCACTCTGGGTCAGGTGAACCCGCGGAGAGCTATGCTGTACTCAACTATTAATGGAATGCAGAAGTTCAGAGCATTCTCCTCTTCTCCCCATCGTCCGGGATGTGTGGTGGAAAGCCCAGTCGTAGGTATTCCCTCCAGCTTTCAGTTCACACAACAACCATACCATTCTCAAGAGAAAACAGTTCAAAGGGCAATCTCCTTCAAGAGAGAACTCTTTAGGGTTCTCCGACAGACTTATCACGGTGGCAACTGGAATTCCCGGAGAGTCTCTCAAATGGAGGCAGCGACAATGGGAGAACGTGAGGTGCACCATCTTATTTTTACCCCTGAAAAATATGTGCACCTAGAGGCTAACTGAGTCTCTCTAGGGTTGTCATAATGAGTAAGGGAGTTCTTAAAATCACATTTCATGTGCTTGGTTTAAATACCTATAGAAACTCGTTTCCTTAAAACTGAAAGATGCCATGGAGTTTTTATCTGTCGAATTTGAATTGCTTTCTGAATCCAAGGCATTTATTCATAGACACTGAAAATGAACGGTTAATGAGCCTCATGGTATTTTGAAAAAGAACTGAGGCGAAGAGGAGTAAAGGTTTGGCATTGTGAATGAAGGAATTTGAACCTGAACACCTAGCTGAGTGAGATATTTCACATATGATGAGTGTGTACCCGTGTAGAGCTGGACTATCCAGCCCAGGTAAATTTTAACAACAGTAAAGTACCTATATGTATATTTAGACTAATATGCTTGAGTATTTGTAAGTATAAGTTAATACACGTCTCTAATGCATGATATTGAATTATGACAAATGCCTATTGATAAGGAAATAGTTGTTATTAATTTACTTGAAAGATGTAAAAACATGTATTTTCAGGGTTAAATTCTTGAAAGCTTCGTCATTTTATTCCACTCTGAGCTTAATGCTATTTAAGGACTCAAGTTGTACCCTTTTTGTTTAAATGACTTGCTTTATAGGGTTTCTCTTTGCTTAATTCAGGGCAATTTAGTATTCATTTTTTCCCTGGATGTGGGAGAGAATGGTTTATATACTATCTAAAACATACCAAATGTTTTTACCATCATAAAATTAAGAATAATGATTAGATTCCATGTAAATTAAGTCTCTGTAGATGAAAAATAGTAATATCTGCTTAAATAAATTCTATAGATTAAACAAAAGGCCGAACTTTTGGAGGGTGGTATGAAGTGGTGAGGTGCAGTGTGGCCAAGTGGCAACTGTAGAAATGGCTTCTCTCTCCTTTTCCTCCTCCCCCTCCCCTTTCTTCTTTCTTCTTGCTTCCCCCCCCCCTTTCTGTCCTAAATAATCTCCTTTAAGTATCTTAAAATTCTTTGTAGAATGAGGCAAGTCATAAGTAAATAAAATAAATAAAAACTTCATAATTGAAGTATGACAGGTCTTGAGAGAGTCTATCTATTCTTTGCCAATATCTTTGATTCATAACTTTATTTTTTCTCAGGATATGCTTCCTGTGGAGAATTATACTTTACTTTCTCCCTTCACTTCCTAAAATAACTCTTAGACTAGTCATCAGGATTCTACTTTAACTATTACTTAAAATATTTAACAACAACATTTTATTTCAAATCTAACCATTGGGATCTTTTATCATCCCCGTTTCTAAATGCCAGAGATTATAAAGAAATAATGTAAAAGATTAGGTTCTCAGCCATGATTCTAATTTTTAAAAACATAGAGCCAAATTTGGCAAATTCTATATCCAGAATGTAAATTCCTTGTCATAAATGTGAAACGACATCAGATCAATACTAGAAAATAGATCAATATCAGGTCTCTCCATAGCACTTCATATTGAGTACTAACTCTAACCTGAGGTGCTTGTCAAAAAATGAAAGAGATGGAAATAGAATTTGCATACCACATTATAATGGAGACTATAATTCCTAAAATAGATACCAGCTATTTTAAATACAATACCCATAATGATTTCCGGATCATTGTTAACTATGATTGAATATATACTTACAGTAGCTCCATTGCCTTTACCTTAGTCCAAACCTCCATTATCTCTCACTAGTCTTCTGTAATAAATTTCTGACTTCCAAATTGCCCTTCTACAGCCCATTTTTCACATGTAGCCAGTTAGAGTAATCTTTTAAAAATATAAAAATCATGCCTGTGTAAAAACTTGCAACGGCTTACCATTGTAGTGTCATAAATCCACCTCCTGGCCTGGTCTCCGAGACCTGCGTGATCTCGCCTTCCTCCTCTGACCTCATCCCGTGTGCTCTCCTCCTCAATGATGGCTCTTCAGCCACACTGGCTTCCTTTCAGGTTCTACAATGTGCCAAGCTCTTTCCAAATTTAGAAGTTTACGCATGCTTTTTCCTCTTCTAGTGTGTTCACTGACTCCCATCCCCACCCTATTCCCATGACCAGCATCTTATTTTCCTACAAAGTTCTTTGGCTTAAATGTCACCTCTGCAGAGGGACCTTCTGTGAGCAACTCACCAAAAGTGTTCCATCTTTATGAGATTTCACATGGTTTTCTTTAGCACTGTTGTTTTTTTTAGAACTTGCAATTTATAATTTTATAATTACCTGTTGATATAGTAGTCCTAATATTTTTAAATACTTCCCAATTTATGTTTCTTTATAAGTTTCTCTCTCTTTGCCCCAAATCTGCCTTACAGCTCCAAAAAGAGAGAGAGAGAGAGAGAGAGAGAGAGAGAGAGGAGAGAGAGAGAGAGAGAGAGAGAGAAGGTACTTGACCTTTTTAGTAAGTTAGTAGACTTGAAAACCAAGCCTGGAGGAGAGAGGGTTATCTAAAATCCATTAGCTCCTTGTTAATATACTAAATGCCAGTTTTGGTAACTAGGACCTACAATTCTATATAAAGATGATCTAATTAAAAAAGAAAAAAGGAGGACGTTGATCTAATAAAAAAGGGGAAGTGAGTAGAAACACCGCTCCTGCTAAGCCCTGGAGAAGTGTAGGAAGAAGAGAGCCTGACAGGCAGAGGGAGGAGGGTGAGGATGTTGGATATCTAGGTCGTGCATCCTCCCCTGTAGGGTTCAGTCAGATTGGGTGTGGGCAACATCAAGGGCATGGAGCAACTGCCCACTCCTCCCAGTGTGGGAGGATGGCACGGAGATCATTGAGCAGGGGACCCCCACCATGACACGGAGACCCAGCATCCTGAAGGAGGTAGAATGGCATGTCCACACGGAGGATGTCTAGTGTGAACTTTTAAGCCTCCTTTGTTTCCCACCTGGTGTGAACATTTTGTTGAAAGCTAGAGATTAGGCCACGGAGTGCCCTGTGGGTGTGCAGCGGAGGCAGGAATGCATTCCCTGCGCCTCATCAGCAGATATAGGACACAGTGCAGTCTCAGGACAGAAAGGTTATGGTTAGAAAGAGAAAAGGGAAAACCAGTTCACTGGGGAAGGGTCCAAAGACAAAGTAAAGAGATCATAGACAGCACATAGCAGCTGGGGCCTGCAGGACGGCCAGCCCAGTCACTCGATGTAATTCCTGATCATCCTACTCTGAGACTTGTGAAGATCCAAGGGGCAGTGGGGTCCAAAGGATGCTTCACTGTGACCCTGTAAATCACACAAGACTTTCACCCAGCATATATCCTGACACCATCGTGGAGAAGAGGGAAGGAGTATAATTTGCCTAAAAATAAGAGAGGTTGAGCTATTATCCAGAAAAGACTGCGCCTCACCTACCAAGATTATTTAAAATATTGAATTGGACTAGATTTTTAAACTATATTCATAAATGACGCTAATTTTCTTCTGCCAGGTGGGGGCTCTGAGAAAGACCTAATTAATTACAAACAGAATAAAAGAGCTACATTGTTTCCTGTTCGTATGAATTGTAATGAGATAAATGTTATCACCTTCTGACATTTATTATATGTATCTCTATGAGGACAGGTGCCACAATGCTGGTGTAATAGGTGTTCAATGAATGAATGGATGAATGAATGAATGAATATTGGTTAAGCATGCTGTATAGACATTTCTCAGACAACTGTTAAGGAAAAGGTAATATTTAATCAACCAGCTATTTATGTCTGGGGAAACCGAATCTGTTAATTAACCTGACAGTGTAATGAAGAGTAAAGCCATTAGAATCTAATCTGGTTTCTACCTCTGGTTATCCCACTAAATACCTGTGTGGCTTAGAGTAATCTTAGATTTTCTTTTAGATATTAAGGTCTGAATGTAAAGTCTTTTTAATATTCAATAATTTTTTATAGCTCTAGGTTTCCTTATGTGTTAAGTGAGCATTTTCCATCTATCATCTATCTATCTATTTGGATTACTAAGTGTTAAAATAATGTCAGTTTTATAAAACGGTGGTAGCTAATAAGGATAGTAACGTTGCAGACTACTATTAAAAAGAAACCAAAAACTTTGTTCTGGTTCATTTATATTAATTATGGAAAACTGGCAGTAACTCAAATTCTCTTTCTTCTAAAATTCCCTACCTGGGTTATGTTATCAGTGAGGATTGTCTAATGACTTCCAATCACCATTCACTTTCATGTCTTTACCTATATATCCAGGTGGAATTTAATGACCCAGTGCTGGGCTCAGGAACCTGACCAAAGACCTACTTTCCATAAAATTCAAGACCAGCTTCAGTTATTCAGAAAAATGTCCTTAAACAGTATTTCTCAATGCAGAGAAGAAGCAGACCCTGGTGGAGTCATAAACGAGGGCTTTGATGGTAAGTTTGATTCTTTGTCAAAATGTTCTGCTTTTTCTCCCTTGTAGACTGAACAAGGTTAAAATGGTCATGCTGCCGGGGTGGGGCTGGGCTCTGGCTCCATCCTAGAGCCTGTGCTCAGACTTTGCAGCGACAGGGCTGGGGTCAGGGAACTGCCCGCACGCTCTCCCCACTTTGTTATCCACTTGTGACCTACTCGACAAGATACACCGATGTTACTACGTCAAAGTGACTTAGGTGCCAACTTTTGGCAGACCACATTGAAATTCTAAATAGTGTTAAAAAACACAGAGAAGCAGACATAGATATGCAGAATAATGATGCAGGAGGAGTTTAACCGGGAATATAACCAAACTTGGATAATTTAGACAGAAACAAGCAATTCTGTGCCACAGAATTGTTATTTACAATGCATGCAATTCCTGAAGATAAGGAATAGTAAGGAAAGTGGAAATCACTAAACATTTTGATAATTGAGATGTGACTGAACAAAGTGGCCAAGAAGAGAGAAGAAATGGAATAAAAAGGCAGGGTTTGCTTATTTGTGAAGTCATGGAACTTTCCTTTCAAGGTGAACCTAAACTTAATTACCTTTAACAAAAAGAGAATGTGTTTCCTAATAGTTTGCTGCTTTGCATACTTAGCAAAGCAGAGTGACGTCTGTCTTCATTGTAATTGTCAGATACATATAAGAAGATAAGAAAGCCATGGAAGGACTTTTTTGTGAAAAAATAAAGGGTTTTAGGATTATAGGGAGCAATAATACCATGCCTATCCCATGGTCCTACTGACCTAATGGGGTGGGGAGGGAATAGAGAGAGAAGTAACATATCTGGGCATCTAGTAAAAATATCCCAGTGACTTCATCCAAACATTTGTGTAAACATCACCTCATCAGTCCCAGAAGTAATAAAGGAAACAAATCTAAATGCTCCTGTGCTGTGCTAAACATAGCCAGTCAGCCGGCATATGTCTGGTCCGTGAATACCCTGTTTTACTTGGAAGTCTTTATTTTAATATTTCCCTCTTAAAGGGAGGGTTGCTGAGTACATGCCGTCTCTGTGTTTTAAGGTTTGACCTGCAGGCTTTCTATTCAATAGTTTATAAACAAAAATAAATAAAAATCTACCCACCCTCCCTCCCTCTGCACGTCTCCTTATGCAATAAGATGTACTGATTGCTGAGAGCTTGCCAGGGTCAAGTTACTAAATATTGCTGCTCTAAGTATCACGAACCAACGACATAGTTAGCTAATGGTTTTTCTTTGACAGATGGTGCCAGAATTTGTATAAAGCATTTATTTGCCTTATATAAAAGTTTTTTTTTACAAATAACTCAACAATAGGCAAAAAATTAAAATCACATTTTATTAGAAAGTTTCCTGATATGCTATTTAATGGGATAAAAGTATGGCAGTGAGTTGCCGGACTTATATTGTAGATTTAAGTTTTTTGTTGAAATTCCAAACTTTTCTTTAGCCTAATTTCTTTAAGCCATTTAGGAACAGCCTAATTTGTCTATGGGTATTATTATATATAGCAAATTAATTTTATAAATTCTTAATGGCAATTAGTGCATATTGGTAATAATCATAACATTTAGATCCTTCCATAGATATTCAGCACTTAAGCACTAATCAAACCTGGCATCTGATAGTTATTTCTGCGGGGAAGATATTTTACAACACTGTTCAGCTATTCATGTGGTTTGAAATAAGCTGGGATGATGTTTGAATGGTAAAGAAGGCATGAGATGATGCCAAAGAGCTTGTGAGCCTGCAGCTTGGCCATCCTGTTCATCATCAGGGTCTGAAAAAAAAAAAAGAGCACATAATAGAGAATAGGAACAGTAGTCCTATGCTCTTACAATAAAATAAGGTTTGTGTCAGGTGTAGAACTTGGTAAATAGATCGATCCATTAAAGTCCAATGGGGAAAAATAGATACAATATGCTTCCCTTAGTCCTTTGACATTTTCTTACATTTCAGTTTAAATTCATTGCAAATAAACCCAGCCTGGATGTACACCAGGGCTAAGTGCAGAGGTTGCAGCCAGCAGGTCTCACCGTGCATTTGAATGCTGTCGCACGGGAAGGATGGGGAGGAGAAAGGGAAGGACCATCATCCAGCTACTGAAATAGTCCTGATTTTTCAAATATACTGTATGAAATAACAATACTATTTCTGATCATAATTTTTTTAATCCAGGTACTAATGTACAGTGATTGGAAAGTATTGATAAAAAACAGTTCCCACAATATGCCTGTGTGTATTTATCTTGTATTATGTACTTATCTTTTTGATTACCTAGAACTGTGGTTGGCAAACTGCGGCTCGCGAGCCACATGCGGCTTTTTGGCCCCTTGAGTGTGGCTCTTCCTAAGCCTTGGGAGTACCCTAATTAAGTTAATAACAATGTCCCTACCTATATAGTTTGAGTTTAAAAAATTTGGCTCTCAAAAGAAATTTTGATCATTGTACTGTTGATATTTGGCTCTGTTGACTAATGAGTTTGCCGACCACTGAGTCCTAGAGTGTTGTGAAATGTTTCCGAAGCTCTGCTATTAGGTTTCAACACGAGTTCTTAAACATTTTTGTGTAAGAAGGTCAGCCTTTAAGTAGAGAAAGAAATAATCATAAGAGCAAAACTGTGAAGAAGCTCAGTGACCCTCTGGCTGTTCGTTTTTCTGCTGCCACCTGACATCAGACATACAGTCTGAGCCTGTGCTTCCCCAGGATTCCTGTAGGGCCCTCTGCCCACACACGTGGGCCCTCCTCACACAGCACAGCAACTTCACCTTTCCCTGGGGGAGGATGAATAAGAGGACACAGACTTGAGCCAGACAGTCTGGGCTCCAATTCCAGCTGTGTGACTCTGGGCAAATTATTTAACCCCTCTGTGCCTCAATTTCTGCATCTCCTAAGTGGAGATATACTTGTATTTACTTACTAGAAGAATATGTTACTCTATGTACTGTAAATAGCTTCGAATCATGCCTGATACATAGGTAACAATTTTTATTGTTAATGATATGTATCGTGTCATTTTCCTTCTACCTCCATCCTGCCATCATAACTTGCCAGGCCAGTGTCCATTTCCCATCAGCCTTTTGAGGGCAGAAGCATGCTAGTTTTAAATTTGCCAATTACTGTTAGTGGTTTTATATGCTATTTGTCCCTGGGGGATGGCGGAGGAGGGCCAGCCACATTTGCTGCCTCGCTGTTCCTCTGGCCACACCCTGGTTCTTACTGTTCTCTCTCCCTTGAATCTTCTTCCTAAAATAGCCACATGGCATATTCTCTCTTAATTCAGGTCTCTACTAGAATTTTGCCTCATGAAAGAGGACTTTGCAGACTGCCAAACCTCAGAGGGAAAGCAAGGGAGGTTGGGTGGGTGGGAAGAGATCAACCAATTAACTTGTATGCATATATGCATAACCCAGGGACACAGACAATAGGGTGGTGAAGGCCTGGGGGGAGGGAGGGGCGATGGGTTGGGGCAGGCTGGGAGAGGTCAATGGGGGGGGGGGCACATGTAATACTTTCAATAATAAAGATTAAAAAGAATAAACAGCCCCCTCCCACCATTACTGTCTTGCTCCGTTTTCCACCTAATTTTCCTTCATAGTGCTTATTACCACTGGACATACATTTATTTGTCTGCTAATTTATGTCTGTCTCCCCCAGTTAGAATGTAAACCCCGAAGAACAAAGAAGTTTGTTTCATTCCCTGCTGTGCCATCAGTACCTAGAACCGAGCCTGGCACATAGTAGGCATCCCATACATCATATTATCTTAATAAGTGATTAAATTACGTGATCTTAAGGAATACATCCTTAAAGGTAGATTAGCTGGAGTGGCAGGATGGAAGGGTAAGCACTTTAGACAAAAGGGGCCATGATTTCTTAATTTCTATCGTAAAGACCATGACCTGCTCCACCTGTTCTAGCAGAGTTAATCAGCTGAGGGCTCTCCCACACGTTATGTGTTCTTTCATTATGGCACACATCACCCCTTAAGGTAGAGCTACTCCCCTGCTAGCCTGTATAAGCCTCAAGGACAGGGAGCATGTCTTGTCATCTTTGTGTTCCCTTAGTGATCCTCCTATAAATGTTTGCTGAACCAATGTATAAGGTTGGTGTTACAGTTCTCATACTGCCTGTATACAAATAAAGAAAATCAAATACATGCTGGAATAACTTTTTTTTTTTTTCACAGATGAAGATGGCAACATGGTTTGTGTGAATTTGGATGACAGTGTGCCAATTGCTTTAATGGAAACTAAGAACCAAGAAGGGTTAAACTATATGGTACTTGCTACAGACTGCAGCCAAGGTGAAGATCCTTCTGAGGGTCCTCTAGGCTCCAAGGAATCTGAATCTTGTGGTCTGAGGAAAGAAGAGCAGGAACCACATGCAGACAAAGGTATCTGCCAAGAAAAACAAGTGGCTTACTGCCCTCCTGGCAAGCCTGAGGGCCTGAACTATGCCTGTCTCACTCACAGTGGACATGGAGATGGGTCTGATTAATAACTCGGTTTGGGAAATGCAGAGTTGAGATAAACACTGCCATTAAGTAGTTATTGAAAGGAAACCCTGGTAGAATGACAGATGTTGAGGTGGTCTATGACTCTGAATTAACACTGGAAAGTTCCTGGATTCTAATCTTGGTTCTGAGAGCCACTTGGTTTCAGTTCTGACAATTCCCGTACAACTGTTTAACTTCAACAAGATTCTGAGGTGAACCACTGAGCATTTGGAAAGCAAAGGAAGACTCATGAGTCTGGTAGGACAACTGCTCTCCCTTACCCTTGAGGTCACTTAGACCACTGCCCACCCTTCAGTCTGGACTATAACAGAAACATCTTGGTCAGATGGTTAGAGACAAAAGAGGTATGTTCAAAGATCTGAAGGAGGTGTGAGAAGCATGCTTGGGGGCCCAGCTGAACTACAGATTATCCCAAAAGGGACTGAGGAAATGCCTACATAACTCTACATGTTCCAAAGGAACCAGCATCTATGACATAAGAAATCGCTTGGGATGCTATTGCTATAATAACATATTGTTTCTAATGACTATTCTGAAATATTTTGGAGGTTTTGAAATAATGAAAATAGGACCATGAAGATGTATAAATCCTAAAGCTTAGCATCGGGTTGTATAAAAATTGCTCAGTGACTGACATGCTGTCATGGAAATTAGCTAATATAAAGATTGTTTTTATTTGCCATATCTATTTTATATATACAGTACTTAAGATTATGTTTAGCATAAAATTGTCCTTAAAATTAAATATAAATGATTATACAATGCACATTCAAGCTCTGTGATTTTTTAGCAACTACATGAAATAATAAATACCTAAATGAGAACTATTTAAAATATTCTTTGGTGAAACATTCTGATTTAAAGCCTATCATTATTATTGTTATTATTATTATTAATTATTACAGCTACCTATTTAAACTGAAGTCTCAACTGCTCTAAAAGCAATGCTAATGAAAGCTTTCTGGGTCTTCCTCAGTTGCAGTCTACAGGATGTTCGCTAGATTCAGAGAGGAATATTTTAGCAAATATTCCACTGTAGCAAAACCTACAGTGGAAGAGGATCACGTATCCCCTTCCACCTTGGATAACTTAGTTCATTTTTAAACTGGCCTTCGCCGATGATTGGCTGATGGTGAGGAACACAAGGAAGTCAATGTGCTCCCTGTGCTCTGTGGTGAACAGCCTCCAAGTAATGGTCCAGGATTTGGGGTCACATCTGTTGTTCCGCTGAACAAGGCAGAATGTTTTCTCTGATCTTCTGACCCTCTAATGGGCATTTATCATTGTTTGTGAGAGCCCAGTAGCTGACACTGCTTCCTGAGTCAGGGGGTTCCGCCACCTTCATCCCGGGGTGGGAGCTATGTTTCATTTGCTCCTCCAGGATCTCTTGAGCAGGAAGGCAGGCATGGGACCTGGCCCCCACCACTCAGACACACTCACAGGCCCCTAATTGAGAGCTGAGGATGCAAAGAAACAGGGCTCACGGTGAGTCTTTCCTGGGGATGGTGGCAACTGCTGTTGGTCTGGCACAACTGCAGTGTCCAGGGCCAGGAGGGTTGGCAGAGCAGGTCTAGAGCCTGGTGTCTCTGGCAGCTGGGGTAACCAGACTGACCGGCTCTGCTGTTTGTTTCTAGCCATTGCTCCAGGCTCCATAACCCCCCCAGTCTGGGATTCTATCAGTAAATCCCCATATCCTTTTACTAAATGTTAAATCAACCAGGGTCAGTTTTCGTTGCTTACAACCAGGACTTTTGCTCTGCCAGTGCAATGGACTTTTATTTTGAAAAATACAATGGAATCAGAAACATATAGAAGAATTGGATTTTCAGTGTAATATGTATGCATCACGACTTGGACAGTAAAGAAATGTATAGACTATCTGAGGAGAAGATCCCATAAAATATCATGTTTCATCTAATATGTAAGTGCAAATTAGTAGTCTTTTTTATAATTCATAATGAATTAAATTGGTAGAAATATTTAATACAAAATAAAATAGGCAATGGCTAAAGTCTCTCACAGATAAAATTTATTATGGATAATAGTAACTGATAAAATACAAATGGCCGGTATTATTAAGAACTATGTAGTTAATTCTGTAAAAGTTAGATTTTGTAAGTAAGAGAAAAAATTGTCAGTGGCTCAAAATGGCACTTATTAAAATGTATTTCTCATTAAAATTTAACAGAAGTATAAAATCTTATTAATGATTTTTTTAATTGAAAAATATGACCTACGCATATTAGATCTGGGGGAAATAA